CTTTGACCTTGTTACGAGCATTTAGCTCTGAGCTCCAGATTTTCTTTAAACGAGATTTATACTCGGCCCGAAGTTTGTCTTGAATCTGGGCATTCTGGAGCTTGTCTCGAACTTGCATTCCAAGATAGGTGTAGGCCTGATCTTCCACAAGATGCTCAATAACTCCTCCCCCTTGTAACCTGACCGATCCATCATTAGTTACCTTGCCACGTTTCAAATGAAGAGTATTACATTTGTCGAGTCCAAATGTCATGCCAATATCATTAGAAAAGGACTCGACAAGGAGAACCTGTTCTTTCAAATTGGAATCTCCTTTGGCAAGGAGCTCGAGATCATCCATGTAAAGGAGATGAGTAAGAGGTGTTGGGGATCTGTGCTGAGGAGGTCCGGGATGGTAACCCTCCTCTTTATTGAGCAGAAAGCTCAAAGGATTTAGAGAAAGACAAAAAAGCAAAGGACTAAAGGAATCCCCCTGAAATATTCCCCTTCTGATTGGAATAGATTCCGAAGTCTGCACCTGCCCTAGCGAGTACATCTCAAGTTGTGTCGACCAGCAACTCATTAAAGACTTGAGCAAATCAAGTAGTCGCTCCGGGAGGTCAATACAATGAAGAGACTTCAGAATCCATTCGTGAGGGACAGAGTCGTATGCTTTTTTGTAGTCAATCCAGCACATGGAGAGGTTGCGGTGATAAGTTTTAGCCTCTTCCAAAATCATTTTCTGTACAAGAAGTTGATCCTTGCACCCCCAACATCCCTTTCTTGCTCCCTTCTGCTCTCTGTACATTATATCATTGGAAGAGCAGTAAGATGACACGAGGTTTGTCAAACACCCTGTGAATATTTTGTATTGTGTATTCAAACATGTGATAGGGCGGAAGTTTTTGGGATCCGTCAAGTCTCCTTTCTTGGGGAGAAGTATTGTGCGACCTATGCAGAACCATGGAGGAACATCACCTGTGTCCACGAGAGTATTGAAACAGTGCAGTAATGGTGTTTGGACACAGGGGAACAGTTTCCAATACCGATTTCGAATGCCATCAGGCCCTGGAGCTGTATTTGATTTGGACTTTTTTATAACACTTTTCAGGCAATCTGGTGAGATGTAACAGACAAACGACCTAGTTACTTTCTCATGCATTGCATGGTCATAATCACGGACCCATGGTGCCTCAAGGTTACAGTTGCCGGGTACAGACCACAACTGTTTCCAGAACCTTTCATTGGCATCCATGGGAGGCCGCTTGTCATGTTCACCATCACCTTTTGTTTTCAGTTGCCTGTAGAAGTGTTTTTCATTGGTTCTAAAAAGTTTATTTTGTTTGATGAATTTATTTTTCTTTTCCCATTTTTTCTTTCTTTCAGTCCAAACCTTTATTTTGGCCTTAAGGGAATCGACAATTTGAAGAAGTACCTTTTCTTTTGTTGTCTTGTATTGTATTTTTAATTTTCTCCAAATTGACTTTCGCCGTTTTGACATTGGACTCCCTGATGATCTTAGTTTCAGGCACAGCTCTATCCAGGAAATGTATTTTCTAGTTTCCGTTAGTTTTACTTGAAACCGGTTTTTCTTTGGTGTTTTGTTCTTAGTGTTAGATGTTTTTTCTTTGGAAACTGTGTGAATTTCCTCCAAGGTTCGAGCGGCAGCATAGACACAACAATTAACTTCATGTAATGAACAGTCCGATGAAAGTTTCATAGAAATAATATCATTTAATAAATTGATTTCATTTTTGGGAAAAGATTCATTTGTTTGTTGAATTGGCCTCCGATTTTCTAAAAGTATGCCAGATATTTCATCATAAATGGAATGAAACAAAATATACACAGGGTTTTCGGAAAGATCTGCAACTGAAGAAGAGGAAGAGTGAGGGTCTGAAATTTCGGGGCCAATTAGCTCTTTGTCGGAAGAGTTTCCATCAGCAAGAGGAAAGAGGTTGACACGGACGTCCATTAGAAGTTTCGGGTCTGCTGCCACTTGAGCATTCTGTTCATGCAAAGGTTCCTGACGGGCACCAGTTGTGGGTTGAACTGGCTCACGGGGCAAGAGATTTTTAAGCCGCCGGAATTGATCTCGAAGATTTTGCTCCGTCAGGTAAGCATACATGGGCATGGCATTGTCCCAATGCAGCTTCAGCGACTTGCCATTTATTCGTGGATTATCAGGCCATCCTGTCGCTTTCGCACACTCTAGTAGTGTGGATTTTAGATGGTTTGACCAAGATATTCTTGGCCGGGTTCTGTGCCTTCCCCTGGGGCAAGTCCCATCTCCAGTAAGGTTGGTTTGACTACCGGAGGAAGGCTGACTGGGCTGCGGAAGTGAAAGACTATACTCTTCTTGGCTGTTAGTAACCCAGTGAAAAACCAGCTTCGGGGGGTCAGCCCTAACTGGGTGATGTACGTTTGGTTCAGGGAATATAATTCCTTATTATTATTATTATTATTATTATTATTATTATTATTATTATTATTATTATTATTATTATTATTATTATTATTATTATTATTATTATTACAGTAGAGGGCCACATGTTGAATGAGTAAAATGTGACGACACTGTGGAGGGAAACATGCTGACATGTGCGTGCACTCACAAGACACGGTAGAGGGCAACGTGTTGACGTGTGTGTAGCCACATGACAGTGCAGAGGGCAACGTGTTGACGTGTGTGTAGCCACAAGACACGGTAGAGGGCAACGTGTTGACGTGTGTGCAGCCACAAGACACGTTAGAGGGCAACGTGTTGATGTGTGTGTAGCCACATGACAGTGCAAAGGGTAACGTGTTGACACGAGGGTTGCCACATGACACAGTAGAGGGCAACGTGTTGACACGAGGGTTTCCACATGCCACTGGCAGCATGAACCGTAGTACTGACATAAAGTGCCGAGTGGATCATAGTCACTGGCAGCATGAACCGTAGTACTGACATAAAGTAACGAGCGGATCATAGTCACTGGCAGCATGAACCGTAGTACTGACATAAAGTAACGAGTGGATCATAGTCACTGGCAGCATGAACCGTAGTACTGACATAAAGTACCGAGTGGATCATAGTCACTGGCAGCATGAACCGTAGTACTGACATAAAGTAACGAGTGGATTATAGTCACTGGCAGCATGAACCGTAGTACTGACATAAAGTACCGAGTGGATCATAGTCACTGGCAGCATGACACGTAGTACTGACATAAAGTACCGAGTGGATCATAGCCACTGGCAGCATGACACGTAGTACTGACATAAAGTACCGAGTGGATCATAGTCACTGGCAGCATGAACCGTAGTACTGACATAAAGTAACGAGTGGATCATAGTCACTGGCAGCATGAACCGTAGTACTGACATAAAGTACCGAGTGGATCATAGTCACTGGCAGCATGAACCGTAGTACTGACATAAAGTACCGAGTGGATCATAGTCACTGGCAGCATGACACGTAGTACTGACATAAAGTACCGAGTGGATCATAGTCACTGGCAGCATGACACGTAGTACTGACATAAAAGTAAGTGGATCATAGCCACTGGAGCATGACACGATCACTGAGCCACCGAGTGGCATAGTCACTGCAGCATGACGTAGTACTGACATAAAGTACCGAGTGGATCATAGTCACTGGCAGCATGAACCGTAGTACTGACATAAAGTACCGAGTGGATCATAGTCACTGGCAGCATGAACCGTAGTACTGACATAAAGTACCGAGTGGATCATAGTCACTGGCAGCATGAACCGTAGTACTGACATAAAGTACCGAGTGGATCATAGTCACTGGCAGCATGACACGTAGTACTGACATAAAGTACCGAGTGGATCATAGTCACTGGCAGCATGACACGTAGTACCTGACATAAAGTACCGAGTGGATCATAGATCACTGGCAGCATGACACGTAGTACTGACATAAAGTACCGAGTGGATCATAGTCACTGGCAGTGAACCGTAGTACTGACATAAAGTAACAGTGGATTATAGTCACTGGCATGAACCGTAGTACTGACATAAAGTACCGAGTGGATCATAGTCACTGGCAGCATGAACCGTAGTACTGACATAAAGTACCGAGTGGATCATAGTCACTGGCAGCATGAACCGTAGTACTGACATAAAAGTACCGAGTGGATCATAGTCACTGGCAGCATGACACGTAGTACTGACATAAAGTACCGAGTGGATCATAGTCACTGGCAGCATGACACGTAGTACTGACATAAAGTACCGAGTGGATCATAGTCACTGGCAGCATGAACCGTAGTACTGACATAAAGTACCGAGTGGATCATAGTCACTGGCAGCATGCGTAGTACTGACATAAAGTACCGAGTGGATCATAGTCACTGGCAGCATGAACCGTAGTACTGACATAAAGTACCGAGTGGATCATAGTCACTGGCAGCATGACACGTAGTACTGACATAAAGTACCGAGTGGATCATAGTCACTGGCAGCATGACACGTAGTACTGACATAAAGTACCGAGTGGATCATAGTCACTGGCGTACGTAGTACTGACATAAAGTACCGAGTGGATCATAGTCACTGGCAGCATGACACTGACATAAAGTACCGAGTGGATGACATAACTGGCAGCATGAACCGTAGTACCGACATGGATCATATCCACACTGGCAGCATGACACGTAGTACTGACATAAAGTACCGAGTGGAGCCACTGGTATCATAGATCACTGGCAGCATGACACGTAGTACTGACATAAAGTACCGAGTAGATCATAGCCACTGGCAGCATGACACGTAGTACTGACATAAAGTACCGAGTGGATCATAGTCACTGGCAGCATGACACGTAGTACTGACATAAAGTACCGAGTGGATCATAGTCACTGGCAGCATGAACCGTAGTACCGCCATGTTCAGTATATGTCCAGGTATGATGACATGTACATATTAAGAACATACATTATGAAGAGCCAGGCGGTGTCAGGTGTGGTTGTGGTTGTGATGGGGTCGGCGAAGACAAAAGATTAAATCGTCAGTGCCTTTTCAAACCTTTAATGAGTATATTTTTAAAACCTGCCGCGACTATTTGACGTGGTTAAATCTCCTTTAAACTATTATTTTCCAGCAGTTTTAGGCATTTTACAGAAGTATATCCAGGGTCCAACCCCCGACCCCTGATACACAACCCCGAATATATAAGTGGTCAGCCTCTCACGAACTGCCCAACCCCCTGACCCCTGATACACAAGCCGGAATATATAAGTGGTCAGCCTCTCACATACTGCCCATCCCCGACCCCTGATACACAACCCCGAATATATAAGTGGTCAGCCTCTCACGAACTGCCCAACCCCCGACCCCTGATACACAACCCCGAATATATAAGTGGTAAGCCACTCACATACTACCCAACCCCCTGACCCCTGATACACAACCCCGATTATATAAGTGGTCAGCCTCTCACACAGTGCCCAACCACTGACCCCTGATAAACAACCCCGAATATATAAGTGGCCAGCCTCTCACACAGTGCCCAACCACTGACCCTGATACACAACCTCGAATATATAGGTGGTCAGCCTCTCACGCACTGCCCGACCCCTGATACACAACCCCGAATATATAAGTGGTCAGCCTCTCACATACTGGAGTTCTCAAGGGATATCCAGGGAGTGAAAAGCACAAATGACCACTTCTCCTTGTCATCTCCGTACGAAGGCACCCGAATGTCCAGTGGAACCTATAACAGCTGCCGGAGGCAAATCTGAACACCAATGTGGATCACGATAACTGATGGCAGTACCTGTACCGCTGGTACTTGGATGACATTGTCATTACAGTAAGATACACTCCGTGTATGTACAGCATAGGGAACATCGGGGACCTCCATCACAGCATCGTCAACATGATCTGTCTGTCCAGATAAAGGTCGTTCATAACTTGTCACTTAACGATAGTGATGTTAAACTGGTGTACCTACAGAAATACATGTTAGTAATGGACTTTGGAAGATTGCCTTATGGCATCATAACCGTATGGTTACTATGTTGGTGTCCTTCACTTCAGCTGATGGAACAACAGTGGTATATACATGCTCATTGCTAGTCGTGTTGGTGTCCTTCACTTCAGCTGATGGAACAACAGTGGTATACACATGCTCATTGCTAGTCGTGTTGGTGTCCTTCACTTCAGCTAATGGAACAACAGTGGTATATACATGCTCATTGCTAATCGTGTTCTTGTCCAACTTGCTGTACAGCTCAGCAGCTTCCTTTGTCTGCGATGCTTCAACAGTCTGACGTTGGCCAACAGATTTACTTTGTGACGTTTTCAGTGTCTCTGACACTGGGCTAGAGATGATAGGATCGACCGGTGATTCTGGGACATGGGAGATGACGATGTTGTCATATACGACAGCTTGTCGTCCTTTCTCAGTATCGGTAGATACGAGTTGTCCGAGTTTCATGGATTGCTGGGTTGCTTTGTGCTTTCTGTAAAAGAGATAATACCCTGGCAATATGATCAGAAATTACTTTAACAAAGATTATAAATTCCTGAACGTTTGCACGACGGATGAAAGTACAGTTTTGTTGTCACAACAGAGGATAACTGATTATGTCATCGTAATAGAACATTCTTCATTAATCTTTAATAAAGGTTTCGATTTAGGTATGCCTAGTGTGCTGTCTGTCATAGTGAGGCATTATGTTGCTTCCGATAGGCCTAATGTGTTGTCTCTGCCTGTGCGGACAGAGATATAGGCCGTTTCACACTGGTTACTTACCTCCTGCACTGTGATACAGATCGTTTCACGCTGGTTACTTACCTCCTGCACACAGATACAGGTTGTTTCACTCTAGTTACTTACCTCCTGCACAGAGACACAGGTCGTTTCACACTAGTTACTTACCTCCTGCACACAGATACAGGTCGTTTCACACTGGTTACTTACCTACTGCACAGAGATACAGGTCGTTTCACGCTAGTTACTTACCTCTTACACAGTGATACAGATCGTTTCACACTAGTTACTTACCTCTTGCACAGAGATACAGGTCGTTTCACTCTAGTTACTTATCTCCTGCACAGTGATACAGATCGTTTCACACTAGTTACTCACCTCCTGCTCAGAGATACAGATCGTTTCACTCTAGTAACTTACCTCCTGCACAGTGAAACAGGTCGTTTCACGATAGTTACTTATCTCCTGCACAGTGATAAAGTTCGTTTCACACCAGTTACTTACCTCCTGCACAGTGATACAGATCGTTTTACGCTAGTTATTTACCTACTGCACAGAGATAGAGGTCGTTTCAAGATAGTTACTTACCTACTGCACAGTGATACAGATAGTTTCACGCTGGCTACTTACCTCCTGCACCGTGATACAGGCCGTTTCACTCTAGTTACTTACTTCTTGCACTGTGATACAGATCGTTTTACTCTAGTTACTTACCTCCTGCACAGAGATACAGGTCGTTTTACTCTAGTTACTTACCTCCTGCACTGTGATACAGATCGTTTTACCCAGTTACTTACCTCTTGCACAGAGATACAGGTCGTTTTACTCTAGTTACTTACCTCTTGCACAGTGATACAGATCGTTTCACACTAGTTACTTACCTACTGCACAGAGATACAGGTCGTTTTACTCTAGTTAATTACCTACTGCACAGTGATACAGGTCGTTTTACTCTAGTTACTTACCTCCTGCACAGTGATACAGATCGTTTTACGCTAGTTATTTACCTACTGCACAGAGATAGAGGTCGTTTCAAGATAGTTACTTACCTACTGCACAGTGATATACAGATAGTTTCACGCTGGCTACTTTACCTCCTGCACCGTGATACAGGTCGTTTCACTCTAGTTACTTACTACTTTGCACTGTGATACAGATCGTTTTACTCTAGTTACTTACCTCTTGCACAGAGATACAGGTCGTTTCCCACTCTAGTTACTTACCTCCTGCACTGTGATACAGATCGTTTTACTCTAGTTACTTACCTCTTGCACAGAGATACAGGTCGTTTTACTCTAGTTACTTACCTCTTGCACAGTGATACAGATCGTTTCACACTAGTTACTTACCTACTGCACAGAGATACAGGTCGTTTTACTCTAGTTAATTACCTACTGCACAGTGATACAGGTCGTTTTACTCTAGTTACTTACCTCCTGCACAGTGATACAGATCGTTTTACGCTAGTTATTTACCTACTGCACAGAGATAGAGGTCGTTTCAAGATAGTTACTTACCTACTGCACAGTGATACAGATAGTTTCACGCTGGCTACTTACCTCCTGCACCGTGATACAGGTCGTTTCACTCTAGTTACTTACTTCTTGCACTGTGATACAGATCGTTTTACTCTAGTTACTTACCTCTTGCACAGAGATACAGGTCGTTTCACTCTAGTTACTTACCTCCTGCACTGTGATACAGATCGTTTTACTCTAGTTACTTACCTCTTGCACAGAGATACAGGTCGTTTTACTCTAGTTACTTACCTCTTGCACAGTGATACAGATCGTTTCACACTAGTTACTTACCTACTGCACAGAGATACAGGTCGTTTTACTCTAGTTAATTACCTACTGCACAGTGATACAGGTCGTTTTACTCTAGTTACTCACCTCCTGCTCAGAGATACAGATCGTTTCACTCTAGTAACTTACCTCCTGCACAGTGAAACAGGTCGTTTCACGATAGTTACTTATCTCCTGCACAGTGATAAAGTTCGTTTCACACCAGTTACTTACCTCCTGCACAGTGATACAGATCGTTTTACGCTAGTTATTTACCTACTGCACAGAGATAGAGGTCGTTTCAAGATAGTTACTTACCTACTGCACAGTGATACAGATAGTTTCACGCTGGCTACTTACCTCCTGCACCGTGATACAGGCCGTTTCACTCTAGTTACTTACTTCTTGCACTGTGATACAGATCGTTTTACTCTAGTTACTTACCTCCTGCACAGAGATACAGGTCGTTTTACTCTAGTTACTTACCTCCTGCACTGTGATACAGATCGTTTTACTCTAGTTACTTACCTCTTGCACAGAGATACAGGTCGTTTTACTCTAGTTACTTACCTCTTGCACAGTGATACAGATCGTTTCACACTAGTTACTTACCTACTGCACAGAGATACAGGTCGTTTTACTCTAGTTAATTTACCTACTGCACAGTGATACAGGTCGTTTTACTCTAGTTACTTACCTCCTGCACAGTGATACAGATCGTTTTACGCTAGTTATTTACCTACTGCACAGAGATAGAGGTCGTTTCAAGATAGTTACTTACCTACTGCACAGTGATACAGATAGTTTCACGCTGGCTACTTACCTCCTGCACCGTGTGATACAGGTCGTTTCACTCTAGTTACTTACTTCTTGCACTGTGATACAGATCGTTTTACTCTAGTTACTTACCTCTTGCACAGAGATACAGGTCGTTTCACTCTAGTTACTTACCTCCTGCACTGTGATACAGATCGTTTTACTCTAGTTACTTACCTCTTGCACAGAGATACAGGTCGTTTTACTCTAGTTACTTACCTCTTGCACAGTGATACAGATCGTTTCACACTAGTTACTTACCTACTGCACAGAGATACAGGTCGTTTTACTCTAGTTAATTACCTACTGCACAGTGATACAGGTCGTTTTACTCTAGTTACTTACCTCCTGCACAGTGATACAGATCGTTTTACGCTAGTTATTTACCTACTGCACAGAGATAGAGGTCGTTTCAAGATAGTTACTTACCTACTGCACAGTGATACAGATAGTTTCACGCTGGCTACTTACCTCCTGCACCGTGATACAGGTCGTTTCACTCTAGTTACTTACTTCTTGCACTGTGATACAGATCGTTTTACTCTAGTTACTTACCTCTTGCACAGAGATACAGGTCGTTTCACTCTAGTTACTTACCTCCTGCACTGTGATACAGATCGTTTTACTCTAGTTACTTACCTCTTGCACAGAGATACAGGTCGTTTTACTCTAGTTACTTACCTCTTGCACAGTGATACAGATCGTTTCACACTAGTTACTTACCTACTGCACAGAGATACAGGTCGTTTTACTCTAGTTAATTACCTACTGCACAGTGATACAGGTCGTTTTACTGTAGTTACTTACCTACTGCACAGTGATACAGATCGTTTTACGCTAGTTATTTACCTACTGCACAGAGATAGAGGTCGTTTCAAGATAGTTACTTACCTACTGCACAGTGATACAGATAGTTTCACGCTGGCTACTTACCTCCTCCACCGTTATACAGGCCGTTTCACTCTAGTTACTTACTTCTTGCACTGTGATACAGATCGTTTCACTCTAGTTACTTACCTCCTGCACAGAGATACAGGTCGTTTTACTCTAGTTACTTACCTCCTGCACTGTGATACAGATCGTTTTACTCTAGTTACTTACCTCTTGCACAGAGATACAGGTCGTTTTACTCTAGTTACTTACCTCTTGCACAGAGATACAGATCGTTTCACACTAGTTACTTACCTACTGCACAGAGATACAGGTCGTTTTACTCTAGTTAATTACCTACTGCACAGTGATACAGGTCGTTTTACTCTAGTTAATTACCTACTGCACAGTGATACAGGTCGTTTTACTGTAGTTACTTACCTCCTGCACAGTGATACAGATCGTTTTACGCTAGTTATTTACCTACTGCACAGAGATAGAGGTCGTTTCAAGATAGTTACTTACCTACTGCACAGTGATACAGATAGTTTCACACTGGCTACTTACCTCCTGCACCGTGATACAGGTCGTTTCACCTCTAGTTACTTACTTCTTGCACTGTGATACAGATCGTTTTACTCTAGTTACTTACCCTCTGCACAGAGATACAGGTCGTTTCACTCTAGTTACTTACCTCCTGCACTGTGATACAGATCGTTTTACTCTAGTTACTTACCTCTTGCACAGAGATACAGGTCGTTTTACTCTAGTTACTTACCTCTTGCACAGTGATACAGATCGTTTCACACTAGTTACTTACCTACTGCACAGAGATACAGGTCGTTTTACTCTAGTTAATTACCTACTGCACAGTGATACAGGTCGTTTTACTGTAGTTACTTACCTACTGCACAGTGATACAGATCGTTTTACGCTAGTTATTTACCTACTGCACAGAGATAGAGGTCGTTTCAAGATAGTTACTTACCTACTGCACAGTGATACAGATAGTTTCATGCTGGCTACTTACCTCCTCCACCGTTATACAGGCCGTTTCACTCTAGTTACTTACTTCTTGCACTGTGATACAGATCGTTTCACTCTAGTTACTTACCTCCTGCACAGAGATACAGGTCGTTTTACTCTAGTTACTTACCTCCTGCACTGTGATACAGATCGTTTTCTCTAGTTACTTACCTCTTGCACAGAGATACAGGTCGTTTTACTCTAGTTACTTACCTCTTGCACAGAGATACAGATCGTTTCACACTAGTTA